ATATTATATACACACTAGTTTTTACACATTTACATTTCCTTAAGAAATGACGTAAAGTGTAAAGAAATGATAAGAAAACACCTTTAATAAGGAATAAAGCATTATTATATATTACAATATAATAACAATAAAATCTATATTTATAAATACAAATATTTTATATTAACATTATAAAAATAAATGAATAAAAATTTAATAAATTTTATAATTATCAAATCCAGACTCAGGCTTACGTTTTCACGTTTCGGGACACATGCAATGAGACTTCAAAAAAAAAATCACTCTTAGGGAACATAAAACCTGCATTTTGTCCTGTGAGTTTACAACAACATGACAAGTTCATCCCATTTCTAAAAGTAACAGTAACGACTGATCTAACAATGATTAATGGCGCTGCTGACTAGAGCGAGTGGATGTGAACAACGACACCATACAGTATCCGGCCTGTCTTTATCCCGTTCATAAATTCAGTCATACATAATCCATAAATGCACTGCTGTGAAAGAAAACCAGAGCCAGCGTTTGACATGAACTTTAACTGCTCTAAATTCAAGACATACACAATATACAATACACAATCACTGGTATAACACTCGGGACGGTCAAGAATGGCTTTAAACATCCACATATTAACAGAATCTGCTTTTATATTATGATTTCCATACAGAGTAATTTCCCTCAGAAACGTCCAGCTCGGCTGTGAACTTTTACTACGTTCACAGAACAGAACGAGCTGCTTGTGTATTATTTTACCATTAGTAACAATTGCCATAAATACATCTGCATTGCACAAATAAACCTATGCATTTAATATAAGGAATAAATTCCTGTAATTACAGGGATAAACATACTTCATCCTCAACCGAAGGTATAAGGAGGAGACGCCAGTCTTTCCGCAGTAAGCACACTAGTTATATTATGACTAACTGGGCTCAAGAGCAGGAATCGCAGACTTTTAAACCTCAAACGATGATGAAATCAATACGGACGCCTTAATAAAATACAAAACAAGCTCAAACTTGGATTTGGTGGCCAAACTGCAACAAACAAACAAACAAATGAGTTTAAGAGTAGTTTCCAACAAAATTTGATACCAGATGTTTTGTTTTGGTGTTTAGTGTTTTAAAACGTTATGCTAATCATGAGGAAAAATTGGTAATTGGTGTGCATAATATATTAATATTTATATATGTATTTAATAATTACTTATAATACTGTATATATATATATATATATATATATAATTTATAGCAATTATAATTATTAAATTGTTATAGTTATTTGCATAATTATTATTCATTTAATATATGTATTTATTTAATTTTTCATATAATTATTATTAGCTTTTATATTTATTTTACATTATATAATTTACAT